GAGGAGTTCTGGTCAGCCTGATCTTATAATCAAAAGCTTTACGTGGACCAACTAAGAAGATGTCCTGGATTTCCTGACAGTGTCCCTTAATATCTATAAAAATAGAAGACTGGTAAGAAGTAATACTTGAAAAACTCACTTAAAAAAAGTGCTGTTTTTTTAGAAAATGTATGGCTTGAATTTTATGTTGACAAAATACAAATTCAAACTGACATGAAGTAAACTGATGAACTGACCTTTGAACAATTACAAAACATAAGTCACATTCGGTTATTTTCGTACTCACTATGCAGATGGGAAAGATATTCAGTGAATATCTTTTTACTTCTTTCTATAAAATTCTAAATCTCTTAAATAGTGTTCATAAAAAACAACAACATTATAATCATGTGGGCAGGATTAATGATATTTGATTTGAGCCGTTGGTTTTGAATACGTGACAAAGTCTTTAGGCTGAGTGTAAAAACCCTCAGTCAGTGTTTCTGCTTTCTTACAGCTGCCTAATCAAAAAGCCAATGTTGACCCCTGGCCCCTCCACCCACCTGTTCTCCAAGTCTGGCAGCGCTGTGGTTTTGTCTTCTGTTTCTTGTCCTCCAACATCCAACCTGCACGTACTCATCGATCACTCCATTAATGCACTTCCACACTCTCTGTATCCAGGTTAGTGTGGATGAGGATAAAATCAGAGATTTGTTTGTGCTCAGCGTCATTAGAAATGCTACCTCTGTTTTACTCACCAATACTGTGTATCAATGATGAAGTTTTGTTGAGGTTTTAGAAGTTCTCAGTTGGTTATCTTGTAGAAACAAATTCCTGCGCTGCTGTGTGTTTCACACGTCCAGTATTTACACTGAAAAGATATCTGAAGCCATAAGGTTTTGTTTTTTTTAAGTATTTTTTAAAATTTAGTTAGTTTTTTAATTTAGTTAGTTCAGAATGCTTTACTAGCTTTAGGTGTTCTTTTTTTAATTGTTTTGCTGTGTTCATGTGGGAAACAGTTGTTACGGTTAATTGTAAATTTTAACCTTTACAGCGGCTGACAATATTGACTGCTATGTATTTTTAATTTCTTTTTATGAACTTTGTTGATTCCACACTGGGGAAATTCTGTTAACGTGTTAACAGCCCCTTGGAGACTCCAAGTATATGGTTCCACTGAACTTAGGTAGCACTGCAGTTTATAGTGGCCTCTAGAATAATTTTGATTACTCATAATACATTGATAAACCTTTACAATATTTAAAAGGTTAATTTCTCTATGTATAATACTACAGTGTCCAAGCCTGACCACAGCACATCCTCCTGACAAATGTATTGCTGTAGTACTGGTGTGTCCTAATAAAGAGGGCGAGAGGCTGTGGATTAGTAGCACAGTTTTAATCCAGATTAGTTACACGACAATTTGGATTATCGCCTCATCCTGTCAAATTGAAATCTGCTTTCATTCAAACAGTTGTACCAGACAAAGTGAGAATGAATCAATTTTCTTGCTCAATCTTACCACTCAGTACTTAATTATGTTGTAACTCTTAAAAAAAAAAAAGAAATTCTGAAAATCAGTATTTTCAGGGTAGGATGAAATTGGAGGCCAGTTAAATACAACAGGGCCAAACAGTCTGACACCAGAGAACATACTGGAGGTTGATGTCTTTGGGTCAGGATTCTATCTGCACTGATTCTTATTGCCTTTTGTGGCCAATTTGTGCAGCATCCCACGAGTACTTCTGCAATGCCAATAACCTCCCCACACCTTAATTCATGGCTCTGCTTTACTGCTCCCTTGATTTGGACTCCAACACAATTTCTCCTATTTTATTAGCAGTGTGAATATTTATGTATGTACATTTACATCAAAAAGTGTCTGATAATGTGCACTTTCACGCCCACACTCGTAAGTGGGCTACGACTTCACCTGAAATACTGACGTCGCCTGACATTTCTGTAGGGTTCCCAGAAGCGAGGATCAACGATCGGGGAGCTGCACTGGCTTTTAAAAAATTGCCATTTATGATATAAGTGCATTAGGGGAGGATACATAACCATTACATCGTCGATGTGACGGTCCCAAGTGAGAGGGAAACGGCAAGAAACAGCGGGAGAGATGAATGGTGATCATTCAGCCGTTCGCTCTGCCCAATTAGGCAATGACAAGTAATTGTTGGAACAAATTGCAACAAGACGTATCGGAGGCACTCAGAGGTCATTTGCATGATGTCAAATCATAAATAAAGGCCTAACTGTGTGACGTCCTACCCATGGGTGTGAGCCGCCGATTAAAGGCCATATGGAGGGGAACGGGAACGTCACACAGTGGGCTCTGATCTCGCCTTCACGGGAAAGTGGAGTGTTCAGGATCCAGATGTTCACGTGGAGTCCTGCTGCTCTGATTGGACACATGCTTCCTCCATCAGCCAATCACCACTGTCACGTTTACCATTGCTGTGATGGTTGTTACAGTGACATGGTGGAATCTGTGCATTTGCTAAACAAACTGCATAATTAGTTTGTTTGTTTTTTTTTTCTGAGAAAAAAACTAAATTTAAGCCCTGAAGGAAACTAGCTCTAAAACTGACTGTTGAATCATTAATGCTGTGTAACCATCAGAGAAGACAACAAAGTACATAACCTGTAATTGGACTATAAATGTTGGGACAGACGTCTGTTGTAAAGTGAAGAAAATGAAATTTATTTTAATTATTAAGGGTCAAATATTGGTTCATGACGATTATGGTCTCTGTCATTTCTCCTTCCTGTTTTTCCTTTGGTCTTGTTTGTTTTTGCAAACATTTCTTGTCTTGTGCCGCTTTACCAGAACTACTGATACCACATGTATGTGACGCTAGATGGAGAAACCTGTGGTTTGAAGCCGTTTAAAGAGGTCTCCAGGAACACACAGCAACTGTTCAAGGTGAGATCTTCATTCCTAAATGTTACCTTGATGTTTACATATAATCTCAATATTTTTATCTCGAAAATTCTACCTTGACGTCTTGAGTTACTGTACAGGTCAAAGATCTGCTGTACTATATACGGAGTAATACTAAACTGTGCTACTCGGAATCCCTGTGTACTGTATAAAGAGGAAATATTTCAAGATGTCGATTAAGTAATACAGCTGTCAGGTGTTTTATATTATCGATCCCCAAACTTTTTGCTCCAAGGACCGGTCGGCCAGTACTGGCCTGTACCGTGGACCAGTAGTGTCACGCCAAACATTCATCATCATGGTTTGCTTTATTCTGTTTGTGTCGGAGTCTGAAAGACAAGAATGATTTTGATTGATCTGAAATGATCAACAATAACAATAATAAATATGATGTCATTCTGAAGGTTCTAAATTTTTTTGGGCTCGATGACAAAATCATTGTTTTGTGAGTTTTGCGCATCGTGGC